ATGCAGAACACATGATGATATTATGAATTTAGTTATCTTGTCGACAGAATGTATATCCAACTGCAAAAGTTGCCTAAATCGGGACTTGAGAAGACCAAACGTATTCTCAATCAGTACTCTGGTAGAACTTAATGTTTTAATAAATGTTTTCTGTGATTCAGTTAATCTTCCGTAGTCCTTGTATGGTACAAGTAGCCATTCTCGGATAGGATAGGCTCCATCACCGAGCAAATGGTACTTTTTTTCACACACGGTTGGTAGATCTTTACTTAAATCAGATAGAACAAATACCCTGGCATCGTGGACCTTTCCGGGTATTCCAGTAAACACATCAATAAATTTTTTTTTGTAATCGCACACTCCTTGTAGTGTAATTGATGGCATGTCGTGTCTATTTGTATAAGTGCTTTTAATTTTGTGAGCTGGTGTTCGTATAGGAATGGATGTTCCATCAATGCATCCAATGACATGAGGCATTCCAGACACCTAAGATAAAACAAAATGTTAATGAAATAACTAGATATGTATGTGAAAATAAACTAATAAAAGGTTCTATTCTCCTATATTGTGATACAAATAACTTTTGGAATTAAACCAAAAATATACTATACATGGGGGACTATGGCACCCTTGACTATTTTAGTTACTATCTATTAATTGTTTTTATCAGACGAATAGGAATAGGGTGATCAAATATTTTGGGGTTAGGGGGGCATTACCCCCACACAGCCACACCTGCTCCTTTTACTGATTTACGTTAATAAAATGTATATTTTTTAAAAGATATTAAATATTTTGAAATTGCTATAATATCAAAAGGCAACAAAATAATTTCAAAATATTTCCATGTAGTATGTACCTACTTATAAAAAATTCTAATAATATAAGCATTTTGTGAAAATTTCAAGTATCTACAGTACATTTTATTTATAATAAATTACAACAAAATAAAAATCGATTGAGGAGATCGTTAATTTAGGGTAAATGACCATAATTGAAAAATATCAACTTCAAACCCTCATAAAAAATTAATGTGGTTGTGGGTTAACATTTTTTGTTTGTTACTTTGTTAGAAAAACTTATGAAGAATATAAAAAATGTCATTGTCTAAAATAGCTCAAAAAGCATAAAAAA